TTTTGACACTAATGAGATGCACAGGATCAAGTCTCGTGAGAAACACAAATCATGGGTGAGTCAATGAGTGTGAGATTAAAAGTGATCAATGATCCAAATCTCTTCTTATGTTTCTAATTTTAACTTTTTTCTCACACGAGATTTCGTCCATATATATAAAATTACACACACACAAACATATATATACAGCTCGGTTCCGGTGAGAAGTATATAACAAGAGATTTCCATCATTAAATAAATCATAATTGAATGTTAACACTAATGAGGTGCACAACATTAATTTTTTTTTGTAAAGCATAATTCATGCGTGGACATAAATTAAAAGTGATCAAGAATTTAGATCTTTTTTATGCTTCTCATAACGTCCATTCACACACAATACTTCCTATATATATACACATATATTATACATACATACATATAGAGGGTTAGGTTTACGTGAGACCAATGATTTTTCGTGAAACCTGTAAGACCAATTTATATTCATTGATCAACTTATAAGCTAATGATCTAATGGTCTAAAGTTGTACGGTGACAATTTTGTGATTATGAATCTTCAGATTGTAGATCTAATTCAAAGGTTGAGAATTGGTCTTACGGGTCTCACGAAAAATCATTGGTCTCACTTAATGATCTAATGGTCCAAAGTTGTACGGTGGCAATTTTGTAATTATTGAGAAGTCTTGTGGCAATTTTGTGATTATGAATGTTGAGATTTTAGATCTAATCTAATGGTTGAGAATTGGTCTTACGGGTCTCACGAAAAAGTCTCGATCTCATATGATCTCAAGTCTATATATATATATGAAATACATTAAGTATTTTAGAAACAATTTCACAACCATATATGAAACAACTTCATCAAAAAAGTATTATATGAAACAATTTCACAAGATTAAACAATTTCATGAAAAAATTTCATAAGATTAAACAATRAAATCGACAGATGAAGGTGRTTTGCACGGTTTACACAAATGAGGGCGGTTTTCATATGATCACTCCTCTCTCTCTCTCTCTCTCTCTCTCTCTCTCTCTCTCTCTATATATATATATATATATATATATATTTGTCGTGATAATTACATTTTAAACACCTTGAGACTTGAACTCTGGACATTTTTATTTTTTAGCATTTGTAATCTTATGATTTTTTAAGGAATTTGAGGGATACTTGGAATCATCTTCTAGAAGCCATCGTCACCATTGACACATGCCCCCACCCCCTGTCATGAACTTTAAACAGAGGCAAAGTCGTAACAATTTAAAACTACAAATCACGTGTTTCTAGAAATTATGTTCTTTTACAGGGACAAAAATGGTCATTTTTAAAAGATAATTGATGAAATAAACCGAACAAATACGAATCAAAGCCTGTTTGTGTTTGTTCGTTTAACTTAACCGGATAAAAGAACAAACATGAATGGTAAACGAACGAAATTTTTGGTGTTCTATTCGTTCGTTAAGAAAATACGCTTGTTCATGTTCGTTCGTTAAGATGCTAAACGAACGAACACAAATGAATAAAAAATCATCACTATTACTGATCATTTTGTTTCTTAAAAATAACATATCAAAATGAAAAACCGGATAAAAAAATTTAATTCTAAAAAACTAATTTAATTAATGATTTATGTATTAATGTTAATAATATTAAAAATAAATTATATATAAAAAAACGTAAATAAACATAAATAAACGAAAATTCACGAACGTAAGTAAACGAATGAGACCATTGTTCATATTCGTTCATTTAACTAAACAAACATAAAATTTATTCATGTTCGTTTATTTATTAAACAAACGAACTTCCTATCGAACAGTTTGCTGAACGTTCGATTCATTTACAACCCTAATGATATTTAATAATATGATTAAATAAAAAAGGATTTAATATTGAGTTTTTTTTAAAGGTAATTACGATACAATTATAATAATATAATTTAATTAAAAAAAGATAATTCATATATAATTTATGTATGTTAATATGATAAATTTATAAAATGAATAATGAAAAAAAGTAAGAGGATGTGAAATAAGTTATTAAAAGAGTATAAATTGTAACTAAAAGTGGTCGGCAATAAACAAATAAATCATTTTTTTTTTCAACTACAATATCTCTTGTTCAATTGGGTCTCCAAACATGCTAAAGGTTTTGGACCATGTTGGTCAGATGGTTAGCAACTAGGGTTTTGATTAGGGGTGTTTCTGGGTTGGGTTAATCGGGTTGAAGACATTTGAACAATCCAACTAATGCTTGTGGTTTGAAAATTTTTAATCCAACCCAAACCAAAATGCGACCCAACTAATGTTTGCGGTTTGAAAAATCTTAACTCAACCCAACCTAACCCGTACGGGTTGGTCGTGTTGATACTTTGGTACATTAAAATATTTTTTTAACCTTTAATATGTTATTTCTTTACTCATAATTTATTTTTCATCATCAACAATTTGATTCAACTTATCCATACTTCTTACGTATATCACATTCAGTTAATTTCCTCGATTCACATATATATGTTCACAGTTACTGAACATGTATACGAATGAGTTATATAGAAATGTAAATAGATTGAAAATATGTGTAATGAAGAGCATACATGATAGTGTAATTGTTAATGTATATATTAATAGAAATTCAACAATCATATTAAATCCAAAAAATAAAAGGATATCAGGTTCATCGGGTTAGATTGGGTTCAAATAATAGTAACCCAATACCTACGGTTTGACAAATTTACAACTCGATTAGACATCGGGTTGTTTCAGATTGAGTTATTTCGTGTTGGGTTGGGTTGATCGGGTTGGTCGAGTTTTTTAGCACCCCTAGTTATGATAGTTAACCTTCCCCCCTTCTACGTTCGTGTACCGACTGGATTTCTTCTAAAGTGTTTTGCTTTATTTTTGTGATCATTTTTTTTTTGTTGGATTTCTCTGTTAATCTCGATTATTAATCAAGTACATGGAAACATATTAAAAAACTGAGTAAATCATGATTTTCATCCCTGTAGTTTGTTAATAAAATCAATTTTCATCTTATAGTTTATAATTTATTGTTATCTTCGTCATTAGACTAATTATTACCTTGTAAGTAAAAACTGACCAAAACAACGAAGACTTGTAAACCACAAAGACTAAAACAAATATAAACTGTAAAATCGTTAAGAACGAAAATAGTAACGAATTACGAACAATAGGGGTGAAAAATGAAATTTCTAAACCACATGTACTAAAACTGCAAGTTTTAACAAACGGCATTGACAAAAAACACAATTTACTCTAGAATTTTAGTAAGAGCATCTCCAATGCAAGTTCTTAGAAGAATCACCAATGGAGAAATTTCTTATAAAAACCACATATCCAACGAGTTATTATACAAGAACGTCAGATTTTTCTTCAAAATTGGTGTAAACTAACTTTTTATTAATTTTATATATATATATATATATATATATTATTGACTTTATAATTATTATTGATATAGAAAATATACATAAAATAAGTTTTAATAAAAACTAACATTATAAAGTATTATATAAGTTCATAATTTCATAAGGCGAAAATAATCAAAAACAAAAATACGAAAAGTGGATTATCCTTAAAACCCCTATTGAAGATATTATAAGAATATCTCCAATAGATTATTTAAAATGGAAAAGATGGAGATTTTGGACATATTTTTGTTTCAACAGTTTCTCCTAAACTTTTTCTAAAAGGGTAAATTACATGAAAATGTAACGTATTTTAACTTGATTCCTATTTTGCGTAATGTACTTTTAAAACTAACATTTTGATACCTAAGATGTAAAATTTTAAGCATTTAAGTATCCAGATACTTTAACCTCTTTTGAAAAAAGTTTAGGAGAAATTGTTGAAACAAAAAATATGTCCAAAATCTTCAATTTTTTTCATTTCAAAATTCTACAAATTTAAAGAATTCCCTAAAAATGATTACAACAAGAGAAATTATTTTTTTATTATATTTACATGAATAAAAAAATCTTTGGTGTTAAATGTTTATAACAGAAAAATATTATTTATTACATATACAAATCATTTAATAATACTAGAAGGGTATTCGTGCAATGCTTCAAGACACATTTCCATTTCAATGTTTCGTTTTATTTTTTATCCATGTCGATATAATACAATTTTATGTGATTTTGAGAAAACGATAATGTTTTTATTTTTGAATAAAATATAAATTTGAAAATATCATATAAAATTTGCAAAAAAATATATCAATATTAGTATCAAATTATCTAATTAAAAGTTCTTGTTTGTTTGTTTTTTTTAATTCAAAATTTTTATYATAATTTAATTTAACGTAATTAATTAACTTAATTTAGGTTTAATAATATTTTTGTATAAAGATAATAATTAAGTATTCTGTTAGAACTCAATAATTATCATAATTATATTTTAGATTTTTTATATTTTAAAATAAAATGTTTATCCTTTCTTTGATTATGTTTATCCACACTTAGTTACACGAATTCAAACATAAAGCTTTAATAAGTTGTACTTATGTACAATTTCCTTGTAATCTTGAATTTTAAGTAATATGCATTAATAAACAGTACTTTATGCATAAAAAATGTTTTTAAGAATTTTTTATCAAATGTTTTATAATATAAGGGGTGTTTGGGATTGTTTATTTAAAACAACTTATGTTTTTCTATACAAGCATTTATTAACCTATTATAAGTCAGAATAGTTTTAACTACTTCAAAAACTCGTTATTATCGGTTTGACACCGGTATAAGTTATTTATCCAAACACTCAAAAATGTTTATTACCACCGGAATAAGTCAATAAGTTATTTTTACAAGCAATCCCAAACACCCTCATAGTATAGATAATTAATTTTTAATATTTAATATAAAAATCTATTAAAGATAAATGTAAATTTTTTAAAGATTTTGAGTTTTGATTTTTATTTTAAATAAAATTTAAAAATCTGTTAAGAATACTGTAACAAACTTCGTTAACATGGATTTGTTTTCGCGGGATGATTGGTTGGAAAGCGATGGCTGCCCAACAATAACATAACTACTTATTTTAAAAGTACAACAACTACAAGCGCGATGTACAACTCGCATAGCTAACCTCCCTTACAGTACGCATGCTTACAGAACACCTTCAAACAAGCCGGCCTGGATAAGACATCGGTAACCCACGCGCTCACATGCGGCCGCGCGTGAAACAACTTCTTCATCTTCGTCTCCGCCTCCGTCAAGAACTTGATCACCGGAACATGGTACAGATCCGCCAACGAGAAGCCATCTCCACCCAAATACTTGCTCTCCGACAGCCGTGCTTCGTATACGTCGAGCAATCTCCCCAACGCCGGTAGGAGCTCCGCCACGACGGCGTCGTCACCTTTTTTTCCGAACAAAAATCGTTTCATACAGAGCTCCCAAATTAACTTCGTAGTCGCCGGTTCGAATTTCTGAGATTCCACCTCCATCCACACTGATTGCTCCGCCATCTTCTTCGGATCACTGCTCATCAGCTCTGTTCCTTTATCGGCGTATTTTCGAACTATATACTGCATAATCGCCCTTGATTCTGCAACAAATTACCAAATATGCATCGAGATTATAACAGAATTCAAAATTAATAGGCAACAGTTGAAATTTGCAGAGTTTTGTTTACCAAATATACATTGAGATGAATCAGATGATAACATATATTGAAATTCATAAGCAGCAGTTGTAACTTGCAGCGAGTTATTATCAAATATATTTTGAGATTGTAACAGAACTTGAAATTCATAGGCAACAGTTGAATGCGATTTGTCACCAAATACATATTGAGATTATAACAGAATTCGAAATTGATAAGCAACAGTTGAAATTTGCAGCGATTTATTACCGATGAGTTTGATATCACCGTCCTCAAACGCCGGAATTTGTCCGAACGGCTGCATATATAAAAGCATATGCAGATGATATCAGAAGAAGTTGAAGGAATATAGACATGGAAACCAAAGGCAGAAGTTATATATACTTACATTGTTTGAAAGCATATGAGGGCTTTTATGTTCACCAGTGGCCAAATCGATGAAAATAAGCTCGTAGTCGAGATCCTTTTCTGCTAGACAAAGCAGAACGCGGAGTGTTGCAGTGGAAATCATGGAACCGTAGACTTTGATCGCCATTGAAATGGCAGGTGATTAAAGGTAGAACTCAGTAGGATTTGAGAAGATGACGGAGATGAAATGGGTATAAATAAGACGATGGTGTTATGATAACTGAACACCAAACTTCTTTTTGTTTTTTCTGGTTGCCCCTACCAATGGCAAAAGAAAAGCCGAAACCAACACTGAAAATCGAATATATAACCTTTTGGATCGTCCCTAGTTGTCTTATCAGGTTCGGGTATTTTAATGGGGACGGGGACGGTGATCATTGGCCCGTCCCGATATGCATATATATATATATATATAGGGGTAAGATCAAATGTTAACCAAAGTTTTTGTATTAACTTTGTTAACCGATCTTGGCCATTCAATTTTTCAATAAACGGTTGTGATTAATCATGATAAAAACTTATTTTTTTAAATTTAAAATTGCATAAAGATAAGTAAACAATGTTGAAAAGGGTATTTAGGTAAAAAAAAATTATGTAACTCCCATATCATTAATTAATTGGAAGTTACAAAATCAAAAATTCTATAATTTTTTTGTTAATGTAAGAACCATATGAACACAACTATATATATATATGAACCATTGTGTCAAATACGAACAAAAATTTGACATATATATGAACTTGGACTGCATAGCATTTATGAACACAATATGAACATAATAAGAATAACTGTTATATGAAAAGAAATAAATAAAAAAACAGGTATGAACACGATATGAACAACTTGTGAACAATAGTCCCTTCATTATAAACACATTCAGGAGCGATTCTTTGTCAATTGGAGTTTTATACATGGATTGCATCCACACCGTTTAAGGTTCACCTCTTGTTCATATATGTTTCTGATCTTATATGGTTGTTCACCCCTTGTTCATATCGTGTTCATCTCTTGTTCATATCGTATAAAATATATGAACACATAACCCCAACGCTATGAACACAAGGTGCAAACACTTACACAAATATAAAGATTTGGTATCAAGCTTAAAAAATAACATTTGTGTTCATATGATAGAAGTAACATGAACACAATGGTTCATGATTCATAAAAGTCGGTAATATGGCAATATGAAAATGGGTCGTGCATGTACTTCCATTTGAACATGTGAATTAGGTACGTATTTTAATAATTAAAGAAAAAAGCTATCAATACAAGATGAGTTATAAAAAACACAACACATCGTAATGAACATAATTTCGATTAAAACGAATTTAAAAAAAATAAAAATCTATTACCAAGACATTCACTTTTGTTAATTTCTTCAATTCCCGACCTCGAACTCCGATATGATTGTCATCATAAATCATTTTAATAATTGTTGTCAATTTATTTTCCATTGCATTTATCCATATTAGCTTGATCGATACCGAAAAATTGCTGCCGTGTTTTCTATGCGAATTAAAAACTGATAAAACAATAAACATGGAAGATGAAGATTAAAAAAAATAAAAATAAAAATAAAAATGTTATAAATGCATATTTTTTGGGATTTGATGATTTGTAACTCCCTATTAATTGTTTGGGAGTTACATATCAAATAAATTTACTGAAATACCCTTATAATTAAAATGTGAACATGACATAAACCTACAAGAAGAATGAAATTTGATTGGTTGCCATGGTTTTCAAAGTTAACACAAAGTTGTTGGTTAACATTTGATCTTCCCCCTATATATATATATATATATATATATATTATCATTATAAGAAAAATACTAATATATTTAAAAGACTTTTATCCACTTTATCTCAATACCTTAAATAAGTGCTCAAAGGTTCATATGTTTCCTTTATTCTTACATTTCTCATATTAACTCATATTCTCACACGGTCTCTTATATATATATATATATATATATATATATATATATATATATATATATTATATTTGTTGTAATGTAACATATATTTTGAATAAAATATTTGTTCTATGCCATAAAATAATAAATATAGATGCATTATTGAAATTTACATAGTCAAAATTATACTATTTGCATTAAATTTTACAAAAAAATGTGTTCCTCGTTATTGATATGTTTGTTCGTGGCAATTGTGGCCTCTCATAAGAATCGATCCAAATCGAATAAAAAATCTATTCGATTTAGAAATCAATGAATTACTCCTTGGTTGCGTACCGACCCATGCAGTGTTGTAGCTAACGCGTTAAGTATCCCTTCCGAAATTACGAGGCTATTTTGCCGAGTTCCTTAAAGAGAGTTATCTCATGTATAGTAACTTTCAGTGAGCTTTTGAGGAAGATCAACCTGTTACAGGGACGGACCCAGAAATTTTTTCAAACGGTGACACCATATAATTAATATAGTATAATATACATCTAAAGATAATTACAAAAAATATGGTTTTTATAGTACCGATAGGGCTGTAAACGAACCGAACGTTCAGCGAACCGTTCGGCGGGAAATTCGTTTATTTAATAAATGAACGAACATGAACTATTTTTTTATTCGTTTAGTTAAACGAACGAACATGAACAAGAGTCTTATTTGTTCATTTACCGTTCGTTTACGTTCGTTTATATTCGTTCGTTTATGTTCGTTTATATATTAAGTTTAATATATTATCTTTTATTTATTTACTTTGAATTCAAATAATATTTATTTATGTTCGTTTAGCCYGTTCGTTTACGTTCGTTTAGAATGTTTACGAACGGACATAAACGAACACGAACACACCTTATTTCTAAACGACCGAACACGAGCACAAGTTAAACGAACGAACATGAACAAGCCTTTGTTCGTGTTCGTTCGGTTCGTTTACAGCTCTAAGTACCGATAAACAACTTCCAAACTTGTACCCAACGTCTTTTGAAAACGGTCAATATATATCCAAAAATAATTACAAAAAGTATGGTTTTGATTTTTTGGGCTTTGTTTTGTTTGGGTTTTAGTTGCACCATTTGGATTTCAGGGAAATACGGTAGCACCTTCTAAAACGATACGGTAGCACCGTTAACAAACCTAAATTTTTTACCCTTCGGCGACGAAATAATACGGTGGCACGTGCCACCCATGCCACCACATCAGGTCCGCCCATGGCCTGTTATCCCTATAGTAACTTTTATTATGGAATTCTTTTAGTTCTAATAAATCAGGAGAAATTTAATGACATGACATGACATAATTGTGCATGCTCCCATAGCAATAACATATTTTGGTTCAGGCATTAAGCTGCTTCTGTATAAGGAGCAAGGTATTGTAATGTAGCAGAGGAATCTGCCGTTTCAACTACCACAATAATATATTCCATCGCGTCCCTTTCAAAAAATTTCCAAAATCAAAAGAGTGTTTGAATTGAAAAACAAGTATTAAGTTTTGCATCAAAATGATGTAAGAATTGACATCACCCATCGACTCTATCGAAGAGCATAACCAGTGACAAATCCATAAACTTTTATAGTTGGGGCACACTTAGGGGTGTAGAACAAAAAATTCAAAATCAGATAATTCATCCGGATGAAAATGGTTTTGGATTTTCCTTTTCGGCTTAAACGGTTTAGTTAACCCAATAAAGATAACTCATTCAGCTCGATTTTCAGTTGACTTTTTACTAATTCATCGAGGTGTATAATTTTTATATTTTATATTTCGAACGAGAATATCAATGTGTGCTGCAAATGGACCAATTAACAATCAGGATATCAAGTTGGGACCCCTTGTCTTGTTCTAATTGGGGGAGTTGTCTTGTTTTTGTAGGGCGCATAATAGAAAATTTTTACTAAACAAATGTTTTTGTACCTTTTTAAAAAAAAATGGTGGGTCTGCTGGGAGCCTTAGACCCCTACCACCATGCACTAGATCCGTCCCTGAGCATAACTATGAAAACTTCACATTTTTGCTACTGTTGTTGATTACATAAATCCAAAGATAGACCCGGTCGTTGCATACGATAATGTAAAGAACTGGTACTACCCATTAGCGATACACCAATGCCCAAAATCTAAATATAAAAACATTGAATATACATACACATGTGCACGATAGCAAACTAGTTAAGCTGGAGCTCGACACTGGGAGCTCAACTCCACCATGTTAGGATAAGCTCGAGCACGATTCAATAACAGCAGCAATCTGATCATAACTGGAATGATTTATAACAGTTATAAACTGTATAATTAAAAATAATAATTCAAATTTATTATAAAACATGTAACATGTTGATTTATTTGATGACCAAAATGTGAAAATAAAGGGACATGAAATCATGATGGGATGTTGCTTCTAGATTCTGTCCAAATGAGTCAATGTCACCCAACTCCAAGCATTTTGTATTCTTGTGAACTTTCGCATGTAGGGTATAGTTATGAGACATTGATTAATAAGGCCATAAAATTTCAACAAATTTTAGAAAAAACCTCAAACCTTAAAAGAACCAAGTATATATTATAGGACAAATTGCATGAAAAAGTAACGTATTTTAAATGTAGGGAAAAAAAATTCAAATTGTGGCATCATTTGACTAAGAAAATGATACCAACAGTATTCGAACTCGGGTTTGGGGTGGCATATCAAATAAAACTTGTTTACATTGTAATTTCAAAGTACATATGGTGACAGATAACAAATTAATACGGTTTCACCTTTCATGAACCTAATTTCTTTTGCTATTTGACGGAGAAATAATACGGTGGTACGTGCCACCATTGACACCACTGTAGTTCCGTCCATAGATGACAAACTCAATTAGATCAAAATAGTTAATTTTCTTATCTTGTTTCCTTATTAAATTGTTTTATTTTTTTTATTAAATTATTTTGTTTTCGTAGGATTAGGATTAATTTATGGTCTCGAATTAGTCTTATTAGAGGATTAGCTTTATTGCTTGGTTAATTTAGGTTTTCTTGGTATAAATAGTTTTACAATTTCATAGTTTTAAGCACCTCTCAATTGGGTTTTACCCTTTTTCCGTTCTGTGTCAGTTGGTATCAGAGCTCTGATTAGTATCCTGATGGCTGACGATGAAGAAAAAAGATGAAGACAACGATGGTGACAGTAGTCTTGAAAACTTGTAGAAGGTCGTGGAAGAAAATACTAGGGGTGTTCGCGGTCCGGTTTGGGCGGTTTAACCTTTCAGACCACAAACCAAACCGTAATGACGGTTTATAAAATTTTCAAACCAAGCAG